GATAATGGAAGAAGGTAAGCTTATACTTGGTAGCAAAAATCCTGAATATTCTAGTAACAACCAAAAATACGATTCGTTTATTTTTCTTCAGGCAGGAGCTGACCTCAAAAGCCGCACAAAAAGAAGATTGCGAACTATATTCGTAATATAAATATGACAGGTGAGGTTCCTTTCGGCATTCACGGCTTTCTATGTCAAAGCCCGAAGCACCAAGTGGCACAGCGCTTATAATTTGTCAGCGACCGACATGACAGCACTATTCGTTTTGCGTACAGCAATGATACGCAATTCAAGAGGCTACCCCTATTCGGTATCATCCTAACGTTCGTTGACGCACTACTCGCCACTCCAGAGCCCACTAATTCCACAAGTAACTACACAAAAAATCTCTTAAATGAATGGCAAAAATAGTAAATAACATTTGACGGTGATGCCCATTTCCTATAAAGTGTACCAAACAAATTAATAATAATAAAATTCTAAAGGAAATATATAAAAGTACCTTGATCCTGTACCTGTACCTGTACCTGTTCTAGACGAATACAACGTAATCGATGTAAAGTCTACACGAAGGCAATCGTTCGACTTACAAATTTATAAGCGGGAACGAATTCACCTGCAGATGAATCGTACGTGTTCCCTATCGTTCGAGATACATGATGAGGCTGTTACCCCTTATTTGCGACTTTCTGAAAATTCTCAACGGCAGCACTGGCCACGACTAAAGCCACATTACATTTCTACACAGCTCCAATTACTTAAACTTTAGCTTTGCGCGAGTTACGATTTTTATGAAAAATATGCAAACATTTTCTAAATTTTTATGCGTGGTCGTGTACTTCGACCCAAATATTGCTGGTCCCACTACTATTATATGTACATTGTTGTTGTTGCCGTTTGTCGAGACTGCAATAAATCAGCCAAGGGAACATAACTACGGCAGTCAAATGCAAGCAGCAGTAACATTTGTTAACTACGCTGCGGCAATGTTCATACTTTATTAAACTACTTTTAGGAGAGAGCGAAAAAAATGTGCGGCAAAGTCGCAGCGCCTATGCGCATGTGCACACCAAATAACCTCCACACCAGGTCTGAGAAAGGAGGTACAATTGTACCTTTTTCCGACGTTTGATAACTGCAAGGTACATTAGGGACAATGACTGGATATTTATTTGTAGGCATGGGAGAAGCTTTGCATTCATTTTGAAGAATAAACAATTCTAAAGAAAAGTAGTCAAAAGGAAGAAATTAAAAAAAAATCATTATCAGCCCTGTCCTGCAATCCGAGTCAGAATCGAAACGGAATTGGAATTCAATTCCGACTCGGAATTTATATGGTATTTCACAATCCGATCGGAACTTTTGCTCCGAAGTTAATATCCGATTGTGGAAAAAAGGAACAAACCTCCTTTTGGTGTTTTATAAAAAGCTGGATAAGAAAGGAAGACTTCGCAAAGTGTGTTTTTTTTTTGTTCTTTTCGCCAATATTTTTCAGTCAAAACTTGTCCGATTCTCTTTAGACTATAGTCTTTGGATATATGCTCAGTTTAAAAAAGAAAAAAAACTAAACAAATTGAAAGTACATCCATCTTTTGTATTCATACATATTTTAAATAAAATTAATAAAAAAAAACTGTTCAAACGAATGACGGAACTTTTTTTAGGTACACTCTGTCTCATTTAGGTGCATTTATTTTATGATTTTAGGTACAATCTGAAATTTCCATTTTTCATCCCTGCTCCACACCATGGTAATTCACGCCCACACATTAGAGCGCACAACCGTTGGTCTGCATATCTTGCAACGTGTTTATCTGCTTGTTGCTTTATTTTTTCTTGATTTTATATAGCCAACGCTTTTGCGCCGGAGCATGCGTGACTGATTCGCGGAAAATGCGAAAATGCCGCCTGTGCCATACCAGATTGTTTTGTGGGCTGGCTTTCGATATTGGCTTTGTGTGTGGTGCGCTTGCAACTCCCACTTATTTAGTGGTTAGAAAATGTTTTTATAGCTTCGTACATCCTTTTTTACCAATAAACCTGTAAATTTCATTTGGTAGATATTAATACGAACTTTTCATTCAGCTGCCTTTATACATAAATTAGGCAAATAGCCTTTTGAAAAGTCACTACTGAAGCGCACATAGCCGCAATTCTAATATCAAATAAAATTCCGGATGCTAATTAACTGCGAAATACAAAAATAACGTGATTTCTTAGTTGTTTAGTCCATATGTATTCTCAAGTACATACATACATACATGCATAATTGTCTACCATGCAAAACATGAGAAATAGGCAACAATCGTCAATGGCAACAAATTGCCGCCTCACCGATTTATTGCCGTGGTAGCTAATCGGCAACATCATTTCTTTCATGCCAATTTCGGAATAAATATGTTGTCGAAGATTCCCAAACTTATAAATTTCGCGTCAACAGTATTTAGGGTTGGCAGATTCTGACACAGAGAAAGGCGTACTTTTCTATTTTCGATGAAAAAAAGTAGCAGTCCAGCGCCTTCGTCTTGGTCTGCAGGCTGTATCGGAGATACAGCCGCTAAATTCAAACGTAGAATACGTGGTATGGTTAAGAGCATATCTAAGTCAAAAACGAAAGCTCGCACTAAGAAAAAAATATCGATCACAAAAGCGATAATAATATCGATAGCAAAATCGATAAAAACATCGATAACGAAATCGATAGAAATATCGATAAAAACCGATAACTAAATCGATTACAAAATCTACCAAAAAACCGACAACAAAGTCGATAATAAAATCTATTAAAAAGCCGATAACAAAATCGATAACAAGATCGATAAAAATATCGATAACAAAAGCGATAATAATATCGATAGAAAAATCGATAAAAATATCGATAACGAAAGCGACAATAAAGTCGATAGCAAAAACGTTAACAAAATCAATAAAAATATCGATAACAAAACCGATAAAAATAACGATGACAAAATCGATTAAAATATCGACAACAAAATCTATAAAAATTGCGATAACAAAAGCGATAGCAAAATCGATGACAAAACCGATAAAAATATCGATAAAAATATCGATAAATAATCGATAATAAAATCAATAACAAAGACGTGTGTGTGAACACCAAACACAATCCGCAATTTAAAGCTTAATTGCTTCAGCTAATTGGCCTGTTTGAACATAGTCTAATGCACTTGAACGCAATGTAAAACGGAAGCATCTAAAATCAATAGATCCTTACGAATTCGCCGCAATTTGTTACGATTCGTCCCGTGCCTTATAACCAAGGTATAAGTGCTGTAATTTTTATGTGGCGAAACTACGCTAAATCAAGTGGTTTATCGGGAAACCAACTCAATAGCCATAACTACGTGGCTAGTTCCGGTGGGGACATGATATACATAAATAACAGTTACTTTGGGTACTGTTTAGTACGTTACCGAACTATTTCGAGGTATTGCGTCCAAAGGGGTGATCCGATCCAAAAAAAATTTCCACACACTTGTAGCCAAGGGTCTAGACATTATTTTATTACCCACTTTTGTAATTTTTAATCACTATTTTATTTACAAATTGGGTTGGAAATTTGCCCTTTTTTGTAAAATTCGGAAATTAGCGTACATTTATCACTCCTATTCTCCTGAGAGAAGCCACTACACCAATATATTTTTATATTCTCCTTCACTTTACACTTAACTTGATGAGTTATAACTTTCCTTATGACTTTAATATTAATCAGTTAATCACCATTTATTAAATAAAAACACCTTCAAAATCATGTGTCTGACTTTGGTTGCATATGCAAATTAAATGGCGGAGTTCAGCTGTCAAACTCCAAAATATGCAAAAGAATGAGAGACAAAAGAAGATAGGATATAACCCAGTAAGCATTAAAAATATACAAAGGTGTTCTCTGCAAAAGGTGTTCAGCTCCTTTTCTTCGCAAAACAGAAAGAGACTTCTACTTTGTGAGGGTTATAATCCCCAAACCCTTCCCACTAGAAAGGGGACAGTCCCCGCTTTCTAAAAAGGCGTTAACCAGAAGGGGGGCTGCACACCTTTTGCTGAGAACACCTTTTTGCGCAGGAGGCCGTCGGCCGCACTTAGGGATTATAACCCTCAGGCAGTAGAATTCTCGATTCTGTGTTGCCAAAGAAGGGGGACTGAACACCTTTTGCAGAGAACACCTTTCTGCGTAGGCGGCCTTCGGCCGCACTTAGGGATTATAACCCTCACAAAGTAGAATTCTCCTTTCTGTTTTGCGAAGAAAAGGAGCTGAACACCTTTTGCAGAGAACACCTTTGCATATTTTTAATGCTGACTGGGTTATATCCTATCTTCTTTTGTCTCTCATACTTTTGCATATTTTGGAGTTTGATAGCTGAACTCCGCCATTTAATTTGCATATGCAACCAAAGTCAGACGCGTGATTTTGAAGGTGTTTTTATTTAATGAATTGTGATGAATTGGTTAATATTAAAGTCGTAAAGNACTCCGCCATTTAATTTGCATATGCAACCAAAGTCAGACGCGTAATTTTGAAGGTGTTTTTATTTAATAAATTGTGATTAATTGGTTAATATTAAAGTCGCAAAGCAAGTTGTAACTAATCGAGTGAAGTGTAAAGTGAAGGGGAATACAATAATGTATTGGTGAAGTGGCTGCTTTAAGGAGAATATTAGTGATAAATGTACGCTAATTTCCCTTGACTACAAGTGCGTGGAATTTTTTTTTGGATCGGGCCCCCCCTTTGGACGGAATAGCCCGAAATATTTGTGAGCGCTACTAAACCCCACCCAAGTCCTTTCCTAACAATAAACAAACCGCTTATCCAAATTAAACAATTTTAAACAATAATTGCTACTTACGGTCCCTGAAATCGTCACAAAACCAATTTTTATTTTTTCTCACAATTCTTTACTTTTCCGGCGGAAAAATTCATTGTGAATAGGCTGTTCCGGTAGTTGGCAACGCCATAAAATGTCAAATTGACATTTTGGTGGACACTTCACGAACAGCTGTTTTCTGTTATGTATTTTTCATTCTAGCTAATTCTTAATTTAATTTTGAGCCAATTTTGCAGCGAAGGCGAACAATTGGGAAAACTTAATAAATATGGTGAGTTAAACTTTAAATAAATATGAAATACCACAAGTTTTATGCTTTTTGTACTTTAATGTAATTGCAATGCAGAAAACGTACGAAAGTTTACTAGTTTACATGCGTTGTGTGTGGCGATTATCGTATATGTATGTACAATAAACAAATGTATCCAGCCCATTAAGAAATTATAATTATGCACGGCGTAGTGGTTCAGCAGCACTTAAGGTTTACATCAAATCCAAGTTTTGGGCGTCAACTCCAAGATGAGCGCGTTTGCCGCCCCAAGAATGGAATCGCTGCTTCTTGCCCAGCACCACAGAGTTGCGTTTCTCGTCATGTTGTTGTTGTGATTTGATGCGACAACGTTCAATAACGGCTTCCTTTATTATATTCACGAAATCCACATCGTTAAATTGTGCCATCAACAGCTTGAAAAAAGCCCAAATTTCACTCCGCTGTTCGGCGGCGGTAGCGCTGCTAATTTGGAGGGCGCGTGGAATAGGCGCATTAGCTGATTCTTGTTGTTCCTGCATATAAAAGGCTTCAAGTGGGTTAAGCGGATGAGTGTCATAGGCATCGCAAACATCTTCAAAGCTTAGGATGGCTTGAAGTAAAAAGTGGCGGTATTTGGATAGTTGATCTTCACAAGTGACAAGCTCATCGCCGATAGGTTGTGCGAAAATGTAAACTTTTTGGCAAATAGTAAAGATTGAAATAATGGAAGCTAAGGATTGGAGGACGTACATATTGAGTTTCCGATCAAACTTGAGAAATAACCTGTAACGATAGTTGGATAAAAATTATGGAAATTTCTTGGGTAAAATTGATTTTTGAGTAACATTGATATATTAACATGCATAACCGATACACAAATTAAAAATTGTTGTAAAAGATAATTTTAAACGCTTAATTCAACTTATTCGAAAATTGTATTCCCTTTTTAACCGACTTCAAATAAAGGTTTACTTTAGGGCTGGGTACCTTCCAAAAAAATCAGTTTTTTGATTAGTCACGGTTTTTTATTCACGATTTAAACCGTTAAAAACCTGATATTTTCGGTTTGCCGAAAAAATCTGAATTACAAAAAAACACTGCAAAAACATCGATATCAAATTAAAAACAAAACAATAATTTTTTTAATTTTATATAAAAACTTCATTTCCAAATATACGAAATATAATGTAGCGGTGGACATACAAAAAAAAAACTTAATTTCACAAACTTTTTTAATTTATAAATAAATACAAGTGTCATAACGCCGAGAAGCAAACCTCGAGAAAAACGGCTTTAAAGTTTTGAATTTACATATCGTCGTTTAAAGTACAAAACCGCGTATCGTCATTCTGCAAAACCGCGTAACTGACATTGGCTGCCAAAAATTGGATTTACTCACACAAGCTCTTGGCTCAATCCTTCTCCATTCGACCTGAAATATAATAGCCAGAAATGCGATTGCTTTATAAAAAAAGAACCATTTTGAAATATGAGTGTTTTTACGCTCTAGAGAATATTTTCTACAACTTCACATACGCGGTTTCGCATAGAGCTATGAAATTTTTACACAACATAGAAGAAAAGGTAATTCTGCAAACTGAACTCCAAATTTGTATTTTTTTGGATTATGACACTATTGAAGTAAATGAGCGATATGTATATAATTACATATGTATGGTAATATATTATTCACATCACAGTGTACAGTGATTTTTTTTTTAATATTTCCAATGTTTTTCTTGGTAAATATTTTTTGTTAATTTTTTATTAGTTGAAGTAGTTGAAGTTGAAGTTTGTGGAACGCCGTAAAATTTTATTCTTATCTCGACGAATTTCAAAATAATTATCCATTGCTGGGGAATGTTAAAATCGAATTTTCGGTGTTCGGTTTAAAAGCAAAAAAAAACGACCAAAACCTAAATTTAAAAAAAACTGAAAAAGATCATTAACTAAATTAAAAAAAAAAAACGGTTTTTGGAAACACCGATCTTATTTGAGCATTCATAGTTTACTGAAGAAAACGTGAACCGTGGTAATTCTTTTTAACCGCAATATGTTTTCTTTAACGGAAAGATGTTATCTCAAGAGTGGTCCCATACTAATTAGGTACCCTTCATTGGATCATGAAAAAATTAATGGTACTCATAAATTTTTGCATAAGGATTGAAGTCGGAGGTAGTTTTTCTCTAAAAGTTACTTTGTTTATAAAATAAGTTCTCTTTTACTAGTTTGCAAATATTTTAAAGTCGGTGCATACTACTATTATCGATATGACCAGTCATAAAATATGTTATTAAAATTCACTTTAAATTCCAAATTTCAACACAACCGAAGCACTAAGATATTTTCCTTAGGCTTAACCCTCTTTTATATAGTATCCATCTTACTTTAAATATTAAATGAAGTTATTTCGCGTTTTGCTCGGCACAAACTGTGAAGATTCAAAAACTTGCATGCTTATTTATAGCAAAATTTTTAAACAGGATCTAAAGGATACAAGCTTACTTGGAAACGCACAAACGTATTCACATGCGTAAGTGTATACATATTTACATTCGCAAGAAAGTCATACGCTTAATAAAAATAATTACAGCTAACAAAACGACTACGATTAGCACTGTGTAAAAAGTTGTGGAGGTGGAGTGCTGTTTCCAAACCGTTACACTTTATGCATTTCAAATGATATACAAATAATTGTAGTGTGCTTTTTAGCTTTAACGCTTCAGCGAGTTAAAGGGGTGTTGGCAGCATGCCTCTACTATCAGTTACCAGCTGCAAAGGTATCGCGTTTGGGGGAGGGAATAGGAATGCTCATGTCTGCTGCGGATATCTGCACCTCTCTTCCTCTTCAAATTGTCATACGCAACAAGTGTCATAAATTTTGCTTTTGTGCTGACAGTCAAGTATAGGGAAATTTTATTAATTGCTTCTGTACGAGTTTGCTTGCTGCACTTCCACTGTATAAACGAGGTTCCAATGTATGTACATTGTGAGTTGTGTGACTTGTATGCACGTGAGGCGTGTGTAAACAAAATTGTTAATTTTTCCCTCTTAATTAGAATACTTAGGCTGAAATAAAATAAAATAAAATTAAAAAAATAAAGTCGGTATTTAAGACTTCAGCGAATTTAATATAGACGAAATAGAAAGCCAAAATCATTCGTTTAAAGCAAACGTTAGTCGATTTTATGGTAGCTTTCGCTTATTAATGACCCTTGTAACTGTTCCGTATGATCGATTTCTTCCAGCTATTTAATTTTATTGCAGAAATTTAAACTGGAAAATCTAATAAATTTCATTGTCCTTACAGAAATTCCGCTTCTGTGGCGACGGCGACTGTCCCGACTGGGTATTAGCGGAAATTATCTCCACGCTTTCGTTGCTAAGCGCTAAGAACTTAGAAGCACTTGCTGAGCTGGTTGCCAAGAGAATTGTTGGTCAGCAGTTCGAGGTATGTATACATACATTCAAAACAATTATACCTTAAAGCTTCCACTCTCATTCTACTATGTATTTTTGTACACAAAGGAGGGCGTCATTAAATCGTTAACGGCCGGCATATCCACCGATGGCAAATCAGCAGTCGCCTGCATACATTTCTTGCTTATCAATGCGTCGCGTCATGCTGTTAGCGAGTCAGTGTTCAGCGAAGAGATTCAACAGCTGGGCCTGCCAAAGGAACACGCCGCATCTATGTGTCGCGTGTTGGCCACCAATGTCACAGCTATACGTCAGCGGCTGAGAGATAAAGCATTTAGAAGTGAGTATTGCACTTTTCATAAATAAATGATTTCCTCTTTAGTTCCTCTGCTAATCTTTTCTCTTATCCCATTTTCAGTAAACGAACTGTCCTCTATACGCTACATCCCACCCACGGCAGATAAGCAAGATAACACCGTTGGTTGTGCTAAATTCGAATTGAAAATCTCACAGGAGCTAATCGATGGTTTGCCACAGGATACTACACATGTGCTTAATATTGAGCGTCCTAATGTGCAGTCGCTGTTGGAGGAATTGAAAGAGGTGCGCTCTACATTACAGCAATATTGTTGGCGGCAGAAAGACAAGATGGATGTGTAGAGCTGAAGAAAATATATTACGGACATTTATTCACAAGGTATTAAATTAAAAGTGCTTAATCCATTGCACGCAGAATTGCTTTTCTATTTAATTAAGTTAAACACGTATTTATGGAGATTCATATGACTCAATTTAAACATAAAACTATTATTATTAATATATTATTATTTTGTATACAAAAGCTTTTTAACGGAGACGGCTAAAGTTATTAGCCTGTTGATCTATATAAAAAGAAGAAAGTCTAAACTTCTAAGAAGAAAGAAAATCTTTATCTACACCAGAAAGAGAATTTTCATAAGTTCCAAATAATAATTTATAGCAATAGAGTCCAAAAGCGGCAAGAAAACTCTTCTCACCGATAATTGGCTTCTCTATGTTACAGTAATTTGGGGGCGTTACTTTTACACAAAAAGATTTCTCATACAAACGTCTTTCTGACTTCAAATAAACGACTCCGGTCTTGTGTCAGATTACACCGTCACACATCGATGTATAGATGGCCATGTTATACGCTGTTTACATGACGCTATTTTACAGGCAGTTTTTAGTTGAATCCATCAATCGCCTGGTGTGAACGACCTTTCTACTAAACGCTACCAATGAATTTGAGGGGGAGGGGCAGCAGCCAACTTTTTATTCAACTGCTCGCCTCTCATCGTGTGAACACCGTTTTAGCCGTGGGTTGGTGCCAATAATAGTGTTATTCAGCGCCATCTTACGGTAACCTTGGCGATTTGCTTTTCGTTGCGCGTGGTGAAGGCGGCTTGTTAGCACATTATAACTACTCACCGCTAGGTGGGGCACCTTTGAACTTCCGTTAAACTAGTAAAAAATAGGTGTCACCGCTATGCGGAAAAACGACCAAAATGTTAACTAAAAATTTAAAAAAATACCAGACAAATTTTTACCCGTATTTTTTTTAACTAGGTATCGCCCTCACCGATATGCGCTATAATAACTAAAATTTTTAACTAAATATATTTTATTTATATATGTATTTAAATATTTTATAAATACCGGCAATTTTAATTACCAGTATTTTTACCATATAAAATAATATATGTAATAAATTTCCAGGTGATTTTTCGCTCAAATGAAGTTCTCCTCACCTGACATCCGTACATTTCATTAAAAAATTTTCAAATTTAGACTTTTTATGAGCATTTGAATTTTTTTAAAATGGTCCGGAATTTATTTATATATCTGAAAATACAAATTTGAATGCGATGATTCTTTAAACATAGGAAGAGGACATACAACCCTACTAAAATTAATTTTTTTCGTCTTGAAATTTTTTAATAATAAAATTAAATTTTTTAACAAATGAAAATTTAAAAAATGCCTCCGCCTGAAATAAAGTGACAACAATAATATGAGAAGAAAAGAACAATTGAGATTAAGTTTATGAAAAGGTGGCAACTCTTCAAAATGGCTTTTGTAATAAATCGTTTTTAAAATTATATTGTTTGACACCCACATCGTTGTAATATTTGATCTTACTTAATGAATATGTACTTGATTTTAACTTTTGAAAAAACTGGCCTCTTCAAAAAACACCCCATATGGTAATCCAGGTTAAAGGCTATAATTGTGCCAAATTTCATTGAAATGTTTCCTGCTGTTTTAGCATGAAAGAGCTACAAACAAACACACTCACTCACTCACAACCTTTCACATTTAGTATCAGTGTTGCCAGAACTTTTTGGGCCGACCGGCTAGATTGGCAAAAAAAAGCGGCTAAAAACGGCTAAAATGTTTTAGTGAAAATTCACATGCTTTATTTAAATAAATCGCAAGAAACGAAAGACTAGTTAACACCATTAATTTATATCGAGTGTATATTCCTCATCATCAAATGAATCACTATTGTATATATCACCTGAATTCATTAATTTTAAGAGATCGTCATCTACAGTAAAATTATGGCAGCATTTTTCTTCACGTTTTAAACCGTATCTTATATATAAAATAGCGTTTAACGTTTTAACGCACATTGGATTTCTTTGCTTAGTTTTTATTATATTCATTGAACTAAATATTCGCTCTACTTCTGCATTACTTATAGGCAAAACAAGAAAACTAAAAACTAGGTTGGAAAGGTCAGCAAAAGGGTTTTCTCCTAGGGCATTTCGAAATTGATAAACTTCGGCCCAAAATTTTACAGTTGAGTCTAAATTACTCCAGGTATGTAACGTTAACCGTTGCCATTACATCTCTATGGATGTTATTTCGTCGGCATTATATTTGTGTTTTTGTTGCTGTAGTTGAACAAATACTTTTGGTTTAATTACTCTTAATGCATTTCCAACCGAAAAAAGTCAATTTTTTTTATTTATTAGATATTTGTAGGGAGGCGTTGGCGTAATTCCTTTATTAAAGTAATAATAAAATAGCGACCATTTTCTCGAATTATTTTCTCGGCTTCGTGGTCAAAAGCGTTTGTGCTTACTTTTGTTTTTAAATACTCTTCAAAACTGTGATAAAACTGAGGAAATGGAGCAAGGTATGGTTCCAACGGGGAGCATATAGGATCAAATGTGTCCGCGCTAATAACCACTAGGGAGCATAGATGCGAAAGTAAAACATTGAGTTCATTAAAAATCTTCATTGGGTCTGCATTATTGCTTTCGAACAACTTGTTTACTTTTTGCACCTGAAAATTAGGCAAATAGTAAAATCGGCTAAAAACGGCTAACTTTTTTTTACAAACCGGCTAACAAATCGGCTGCCGGCTAGATCGAATTTTCTCCGGCTAGTTGCTATCAAAACCGGCTAAATCTAGCCGGAAAACGGCTAAAATGGCAACGCTGTTTAGTATATTTAATACTAGTAGGACTAGCTTTACTTATCCTACTGCTGTTGTAAGCAAAATAAAGATACAAATTACCAAAAATTAGGTTTTTGATTGAGTCCAAGAATAGACAGAAGTCGCATGTCGACTATCGAAGCAATTTAAATTTACCGCACGAGCGGCGAGGCAAGCAGCGCTGCCTCTATTATAGTCTAAGAGCTAGCAACGTTTTCGAGCAGGAATTTCAGCTCAGCTGGTTTTTTGATATGACATCTCTCTCACTCCCTCGGTTAGCGTGGGGCCATCTGGCAGGCGGTAATGGTTTCGTTGACTAGTGCGCATCGTATCTTTACAGTTAAAAATGCAAATTTTTTAAGTCATTTTAGTATGGCTAATTTTCTTTTCATTGGCTTTAACTAACTTTTAGAAACATAGCTTTATTATTGCCAGACATGTCCGTTGTTGCTAACCTTGTGCCAGACGTCATTTTTTATTAAAAAAATAATAATTTTTCAACTCATTTTACTAAAGCTCAAAATTTAATATGATGTTGCTTAAGTACTAATGAATCTAGACATTAATGATTAATGATTGCCAGACATTAGTTCGGTTGCTAAAGCAAGATCCAGATCGATTTAAAGCTGAAAAGTATTACGCTGGTAGTGAGGAGGATAGTAGCAAAATAGTGAATTTTCATAGGATTTTAGTATGAAAACTGGAAACTATAACTACTTATCTAACGTTATAACACAAATATAATTATTGGAATATCAAAAACTAATTTTTTTTCAAATGCATGCGTCAAGGCAAATAAAAACTTAAAACATTTCAAAAAACATCAGCTTCTATAGTGTTGGAATAAAGCAAGAAAAGCAAGAGAAAAACACATACATTTTTATATTTATAACATTATCATTACATTTTTATAAGTATTTAAACACTGGTTTACAACAAAAATGCGCAGCGGATGCCACTATCCAATTCCTTGCCGATTCCGAAATTTTGTATTTTTTCCATATATAAGTTTTCGAGATATTTGCAATTTACCATTCAGCTTAAAAAATATGGTTCCACTTAATCACGTCTATCTTATACGAAATGTAGCTAATGAAACGTACGTATGTATGTACATCAGTTTTCTATAAACTTAGTAATTTTGGAGAAATTCATTAATCATTCAAGATTTTTTATTTTTTTATGAAAAATAAAAAAATAAAAAAATTTAACACGGAAAATCTTCAATATTTTTATTTATTTTTTTTCATTTGTATTAAAGCCTGTTCCTTTACAAAAAAGCATGCTGCTTACGAAGAAAGTCAATAGATATGTGAATAAAAAAGATGTGAAAGTTCATATGAAATTGTATGTACATAATCGTACATGGCGTATGAGTAACATTCTTTACTGCTCATATGTAACGGGTGATTTTTTTGAGGTTAGGATTTTCATGCATTAGTATTTGACAGAACGTGGGATTTCAGACATGGTGTCAAAGAGAAAGATGCTCAGTATGCTTTGACATTTCATCATGAATAGACTTACTAACGAGCAACGCTTGCAAATCATTGAATTTTATTACCAAAATCAGTGTTCGGTTCGAAATGTGTTTCGCAAACCCAATTGCTGCGAACGGCGACGAATCGACANCTTTTATTTCTTAAATTTTATCTCTGTTAAATTATTATTTTTTTAATGTTTTTATAAAAAAATAAAAAACTGGAATTTCTCAAAAAATACTAAGTTCATAGAAAACTGATGTACATCATATATACTGTTTAAGGGGAGTTTTTCTGCGTTTCATTTGCAACATTTTGTATAAGATATATGTACGTGATTAAGTGGAACCACTTTTTTTAAGCTGAATAACGGTAAATTGCACATATATCGAAAACTTATATGTATATGGAAAAAACACTAAATTTCGGAATCGGCAAGCGTTTCTGCATAGAATTGGATAGTGGCATCCGCTGCCCGTTTTGGTTGTAAACCAGTATTTAAATCTAAAAATTTTATGATAATGTTATGAATATAAAAATGTTATTATACTGTTATAAATATAAAAATGTTTGTGTTTTTCTCTTGCCTTTCTTGCTTTATTCCGACACTATAGAAGTTGATGTTTTTTTAAATGTTTTAAGTTTTTATTTGCCTTGCCGTATGTATTTGCAAAAAAAAATAATTTTTGATATTCCAATAAGTAGATTTGTATTATAACGTTAGATAAGTAGTTATAGTTTTCAGTTTTCATACTAAAATCCTATAAAAATTCACTATTTTGCTACTATTTCACTCACTACCAGCGCAATACTTTTCAGCTTTAAATCGGTCTGGATCTTGCTTTAGCAATCGAAATAATGTCTGGCAAATTAATTTTTGATTCATTAGTACTTAAACAACATCATATAAAATTTTGAACTTTACTAAAATGAGTTGAAAAATTAATTTTTTTTTAATAAAAAATGACGTCTGGCACAATGTTAGCAACAACGGACATGTCTGGCAATAATAAAGCTATGTTTCTAAAAGTTAGGTAAAGCCAATGAAAAGAAAATTAGCTTTACTAAAATGACTTAAAAAATTTGCATTTTTAACTGTAAAGATACGGTGCGCGCTAGTCAACCGCCTGCCAGATGGCCCCCACGCTAACCGAGTGAGTTAGAGAGATGTCATATCAA